TTCTCAGTTCGTTAAGCATATTGATGCACCTGTTGTTAGTACTGATGAGATTGCAGGTGCTGAGCCAGTTACTTTACCTGATGAGACATTATCAGTAGAAGATAATTTAGGGCGTCGTTATCCCCGGCGTGATTGATCGCCATCCAGTTGTTCGTTATGGTTGGATTGCTTGGATTTTATATCCAATCTCTGCTTATGTTTCTTGTGATAATCTGTCTCCTATATTTCGAGCTTATAGTATGACCTTATCAAATACGTCAATTCCTCACTCTGTTTCAGAGGCTATGTGGGAGCCCTAGTAGGTTCTTGTCATACAGACGGAGATAGACGCTCTTCAGCATAATCATACGTGGGATCTTCTCTCTTTACTTTCAGGGGTGAAACCTGTTGGTTGTCGCTAGGTTTAAACCCTAAAATTTTTTATGGATGGTACGATTGATCGTCAAAAGGTTAGGCTTGTGGTGAAGGGCTTTACTCAGGTACCAGGTCGTAATTTTGGTGCTTCCTTTGCTACCGTGGCAAAATTGACTACTGTTCGATTGATTATTTCTCTGGCTGCGTAGTACTCTTGGTCTCTTCATCAGTTGGATGTAAATAATGCATTTCTTCACGGTGATCTAAACGAGATTATTTATATGGATGCACCATCGAACTTTCGTAGTGAGGGAGAGTATGCTGGAGAGGTATGTCGACTATGTAAGTCTCTTTATGGACTAAAACAGTCACCACGAGTCTGGTTCTCTCGCTTTAGTGGTGTAGTTATACGTTTAGAGTTCACCAGATATCATTCCAATTATATCTGCGTTATTCGACAGAATACTTCTAGATAGTATGTCATCCTTTTGGTATATGTTGATGATATTATTATTATTGAAGATAATATTTCTGGGACTACACAGGTCAAGGTAAACCTTGGGAAGACATTCGATGTGAAGGACATTAGATTTCTTTTATACTTTTTTGGGATTAAGGTTGCCCGTAACAGCAGGGACATTGTTCTTTCTCCAAGAAAGTATGTTCTGGATCTTCTCTTAGACATTGAGATATTGGGGTGCAAACCGGCATCATCACCCATGATTCCAAATCTGAAGCTTACTGCTAAAGATGAGGAGTTGAGAGATATGACTGTCTATCAGAGATTGGTAGATAGACTTATCTACCTAGGCAACACTAGGCCAGACATTTTATTCGTTGTCAGCTGAGTTAGTCAGTTCATGCACAAACTATATCAGCCTCATCTTGCTGCAGTTTATCATAATCTTCAGTACCTCAAGTCTTGTCCTGGACTTGAGTTGTTTTATGCATCAGGATCTCAGACTGATTCTCTAACCTATTATTTAGATTCAGATTATGGGAGAGCATGTGACGGTCGATCTACTACGGACTTCTGTACTTTTCAAGAAACTCATCTTATCTCTTGGAAGAGCAAGAAACAATCAGTTGTCTCTTGCTCCTCAGCAGAGGCAGAGTATCGGACACTGACATTTGGCACATGTGAGATTATCTGGTTACGATCGATTTTTAGCGAGTTGGAATTTCCAGTGACTTCTTCATCTACAATATATTGTGATAATCAATCTGTTATTCAACTACCTTCTGACTCTGTATCACACGAGAGGACGAAGCAAATAGAGATTGATGTTCACTTTTTTCGAAAAAAGATTAGCTGTGGTATTGTCACTCCATTGTTTATAGGGACCAGTGATCATGTTGTGGATGTTTTCACCAAACCTATCACTCTATCCATTTTTCGGGACTCTGTTGTCATACGTGGCTTAGTTGACATTTTTGCGCCTAACTTGAAGGAAAGTGTTAGAGTTATAGTAGCCTAGTTTATTAAGATTTATTAGAGTTTTTCCCCTTTTTTTTTATCCTTATTGTGACTTTTATTGGCTATATATACGGGGGCTCTACACTTTGTTTTTATCCTTTTTTGACTCACATATTTCTCTCGTAGTTCCCTTCACTCTTTCCTACTTAGTACCTACTATACTAGATTATATACCTTCTTCTTAATCTGCTAACCCCCTATTGCAGGTTTACCAATGTACAAAGAATAGACAAGTTGTGCCCTATGCTCCTGCTCTACAACCATCACCTAATTCAACTGAGGTCCTTCCATCTGAGCCTTTTGCTACTCACTCTTCTTCGGACTTACCTATTGCATTGAAGAAAGGTACTCGTAATTGTACCAGACATCTCATTTCTAATTTTATTTCCTTGAATTGACTTTCTCCATCATTTCATTGTTTTGCATATATTTTGTTATTTGTGGTTGTTCCTAATTCTTGAACACATGATTTGACATCTCCTGGATAGAAACTGGCTATGGATGAGGAAATGAAAGCTCTTTATAAGAATTAGACTTAGAATCTCATTTCACTTCTTCCTGGGAAACAACCTATTAGTTGTCATTGGGTCTACACTGTGAAATATCTTCTTGATGGCTTTGTCGAGCGTTTAAAGGCTTGGTTGGTTGCCAAAGGATACAACTAGACATATGGTGTTGATTACTGTAAGACATTTTCTCCTGTTACTCGACTTAACTCTGTTAGAGTTCTTATTTTAATTGCATCTTGTCGTGATTGACCCTCATACCAGATGGACATAAATAATGATTTTTTACATGGAGGTTTACAGGAAGATGTATACATGGTTTAGCCTCGAGGTTATTTTACTTCTAGGAACGATTATTATGTTGCACAAAGAAAGCACTATTTATTCTGAAACAGTCACCACGTGTTTGGTTTGACAAGTTCAGTACTGTGGTCTTTAGTATAGTTTTTAGCTTTCTACTTCAGATCATTCAGTGTTTACTCGTCGTTCTATCCAAGGGGTTATCATTCTCATTGTATATGTTGATGGCATTATCATTAGTAGTGATAATTCTGATGGTATTGCCAGTTTTAAGCTCCATCTAGGGAAATAGTTTCACACTAAAGATCTAGGTCTTCTTCAATACTTCCTTGGGATCGAGGTTGCTCAGTCAAAGGATAGAATTAATTTATGCAAATGAAAGTATGTATTAGATTTACTATATGAAACTAGTACTCTCGGTGCTCGTCCTGTTGATACCCATATAGATTCTACAATCAAGTTAAGTGGAAAAGTTTTTTATGACATAGGGCGCTATCGAAGATTGGTTGGTAAACCGATCTATCTCAGAGTTACGCATTCTGATATGACATTTGCAGTGAGAGTGATTAGTCAGTTTATGTATGCTCCTTGTAAGCTTCATTGGGAGGCTGCTTGTCTTATCCTTCGGTATCTTAAAGGAGCACCCGAAAGAGATTATGATATCAATCTTCACCATGTATAACTATTACTGGTTTTTCTGATACCGTCTGGGTAGGTAGTCGCACTGATAGACGATCTACTTCTAGTTATTATACATTTGTTGGTGGTAACCTTGTCACTTGACGTACCAAGAAATGTAATGTAGTTGTACGTTCAAGTACAAATACAGAGTATCAAGCTATGACTCACATGGGGCGCGAAATGTTGTGGGTGCGTTCTCTACTTCGTGATATGGGCATTAGTGTGCCTTCTCCCATGCAGATGCATTGTGATAATCAGACAACTATTTTCATTGTCAATAATCTAGTATTTCATGAGCTCGCCAAACACATAAAAGTGGATTGTCATTTTATTCCTTATGTGAAATGAGATATCACTCTATATATGAAGTATGATGATTAGGTGGGTGATATTTATACCAAACCATTGTCTCGTGATATCTTCAATAAGTTTCGTTCCAAGCAGGGTATTTTTTATCTTTATGCTCTAGCTTGAAAGAGAGTGTTAGAGTTCTTATTTTTATATTTTATATTTATGTAAAGTAATATTGTAAGTACCCAAGATAGTGTCGATATAAATAATAAAGTATAGGGTAACATGAATAATACACTGATTATATCTTTCAATCTCTCTTCCATCTATCTCTTTCCTGAACTCTAATCTTGAATTTATCTTTTTAACTAAAAAAGTCTAGAAATTTCCAGCATATGTGGTCATAGGCTATTCATTATTCAATTAGCATAAAAATCTCAAAGCATCACTTCTTTGCTTTTGTCTACCTTCCAACTAATGAAATCCTGGAACTCAAAGACCACCTAACCTCACTTGCCCCAGCTCATAGTTGTCGCCTTTGCCATCATCTTCGAATCACTATTCTACAAGCTAATTGATCTAAAATCACTTAAACTTACAGCCCCAACCCTTCTTTCGGACCATTAGACACACCAACAAAGCATTAAACCTACTCTAAAATCTAAATATTGACTCCCTCAAGGGAAAAAAAATGGTTCATCAAGACCATTACTAACCAAGCACCACCTCCCAACAGTATAGGAAGGCAGATAGTCTGCATATTCTACAGAAATAGCTCACTCAACCATCAGAATAACCTACGTTCGAAAAACTTACAAGAACGTTCTGCGTTCTACAAGTAAACTGATAAAGACAAACACCGTGCTGCATCATAATACATAAATATGCTAAGAACAAAAAGATCTCTCCACAATAAGAGCGTGACAAACTAACAGCTGAACTCTTAACCATAGAATGAGTGTGCTAGACAAGTAACAAAAAATCGATAGGTGATGAGTAAACTAGAACAAGAAGATATATTTGAACGTGGTGGCTCTTATCAGAAAGGCCTTTGCCTAGCCAAACTTCTCAAGTAACATTCATATGAACATGATAAAAAAAAAAAAAGTCAGACACAAAAGCTAACTTTACAGTATATTTGTATTAATGAAACTTTAATTGATTGACATGGATATATAGAATAGACATAATTGCTAAATCCCATGATGTTGGAAGAAAATATATGTCAGCTAAATAGCTAGGAAGTTGAACCCTTATCATGAAATTACATTTCTTCTTAGAAATGACCTACCTAAGGATCTCAATCAATCCAAATAAATAGCATGCAAAAAAAATAAAAGGAAGAAGCCACAGTATCATGCATTTCAGGATTGAAAAATAGAAGACATTCATCAATTGTAACTTGCAAGTACCGGCAAAGCTCGCATTGGTGCAGTTTCTCTCATGTCAAAAACTTGAGCCTTCCCATCGGTTGACCTAACAAGTATAAATCCACCTCCACCGAGGCCACTTGAAGCAGGGCTTACAACACCCAAGCAAAGAGTAGCAGCCACAGATGCATCAACAGCATGACCTCCTTCACGAAGAACATCCTTCCCGATTGTGGAACATCGACCATCATCTGTGGCAACAACACCATTACGTGCTGTAATTACCTCTTGTCTAGGATTGGGGGGAGCATTTGTAAGGCGCAAAGTGGAAAAGAACGGTGAAAAGAAGATAAATATGGTGAACCAAGACACAGGAAGAGCTGCAAAGAGCAAATACAATAATACTAAGTTCCAGTATTAGCATTTGAACTTGATCAAGAACCTCAACAACCAAACAACGCAAAATTTAGCAACTTTGAGCGTAAATAATATTGTTCTCAACCAATCAAATTTCAGACTTAAATTATTTAGTTAAACTATATCTTTTCAACACAACTTTCTCAAAATTTTACTATCATTAAGGTCCATGGTGGACATTGAAGGAATTATATTTATTACATTCACATGGCCACGCCTTCTTTCTGTTAGAGTACATTAATTGACTCCAATTATTCAAAGAATCTAAAAATTTTAATCATTTACAATGTTTTCTTGGTAGTCAAGAACACAGGGCTGCTAGTGCCTACTGGAAAGTAGCATGTTCTACATGTTAAACAAAATTCACAAAAAAAAAACTTCTAGTGACACTTTCGGTATAAGAAGTACACAGCCAACCACAAAAAAAAAAAAAACTTCCATCTTGTCAAAATATTCAAACAGTGAAAGGCATAAATAAAAACGCCTAAAACCCACAAAACAATTTAAAAACAAAAAAAATTGAAAAGCAAACCAACTTCGTACTTTAATTTTTTATTTTTTTATTTCTTTTTTTTCCTCTTACCATGAGAACACATTTTGTCGTGGCCAAGGTGCAAAAGAAAGCTACTTTTTTGTTGAATGGGAGACCTGACAGTCTTTCTCGATAGAGAGTGTGGGTTTATATTGATTAGATAAGGCCTACCTTTACTCCAACCATATCTCCAACAAACTCCCATAATCCATTCATTTTTTTAGGGTAAATGCCATAAATGCAACAAATTTGAAAATCTTCTTTAGCTGGAGGATCATAGTTAATCAAGGTAAAATTATGAATTACCCCATTGTAGTTTACTACATTTACTCATTATCTCTTTTTATTTTTAAAACTTACACATAACCCCCTAATGGTTTAGATCAATGTCAAATCCTTAGCTTTTCCGTCCCAATTGACAATAGTGTCAGTCACGCACTTGGATTCTTGGAATTGAAGTTGGGGACTGTTTTTCCCTGCAATTAATCATGTTAATACCCCAAATGCCCTCTCACTAGTATTCTATGTAAATGTAAGCCAGATTCAAATATTTGGTCGACTCTCCCCTTTCCTCCAAAACCAGTCCATATTTCAGCTTCAAGACGGCACAAGTTAATCTATACAGACTATGCTTTCAACAATCTTGGCCTGGATTGAGTCTCAGCCATAGTATAAGCAATGCACTTGTTAATAAATGAAACTTGTCTAGCTAAACTAATCAACTCTCACATCAATGAACAAACACAGAAAATTTAAGTCATGTACATACCCAATTGAGGAAGGAAATCCCAATTTATGTCATGTACATAACCAATTGAGGAAGGAAATCCCAATTTAAGTCATGTACATACCTAAACTAATCAACTGGTTTGTGTGTGAGCTATATATATACAGCTCACACACAAACCTTCTCTCTCTGGCCTTTAAAGAACAAGTTGTCAGAACTCGGACTCTCTCCATCTCTATCGCCAGGGCCACTGTGGAACGCATTTCTCTAAGTTGTTTGGCAGTGATGGGTGGGTCACATTCTGTCATCCATACATTAGCAACCTCCACATGTATAGGCAAACAAATGGTCACCTATCTCTTTACTGCTAGTGAGGTGTGTCTTGGTCACTAGCTTTTGGGAAGCTGCAATTTCTTTGATATTTAACTATTAGATGGGTTGCTTTATACCTCCATTCATTCTTGGTTTGCTTTCCTCTGCGTACGTTTCAGAGTTTGAACAAGATGCATGTTTCAGAGTTTGAACAAGATGTAGGTGAATACGAAGTTTATTTGGTTCTGAGTATAATTCTGTTCAACTAAGGATCAAGGGATAATTTTATCCAAACAAGAGTAAAAGGATGTTGGGACAGGGGGTAATGAGTCATTTTAACATTTTATGTTAATCTAAACAGAATTTCTAACTGTTGCAATTTGATTCCATTGGATCAGACCCATACCTCCATTCTTATTTACAGCGCCTTGGATTTGATTACATTGGATCAGACCTATACCAAATTTGAGTCCGTCAACTCGAACCTCTACCAGATTTGACTCCTCAACTGAGACCTATTATGGCGTTGACACTTAACACAAACATTTTTCTAGTCATTTGATAATCCATGTCAATGATGTCATCACAATTGAGCAATCAACATGTAGCTTCTCAAATTTGCATATGATAGCGTTAGAAAAGACATAGGCATCAAAATTCCATTCCAAGGTATAAGATTAATCACTGTAGTTCTTAACTGGGATTTCTAACTCTTAACTCCCTTTAACCAGTCCTACATATATTTCATACACGTTATTTTCATCACCCAACACATAGGTAGTACTTGTTTAATATTCCCATTTCGTAAGTACTTAAAATGTTGATATTGATCCTTAATGATCGTCATCATGTACTTATTGTTATTCTTCTTTCTTCTCACTATAAGTAAGAGGAAACATCATGTAAACCTCTTGGTCAATAAGTTCAATGTTTCCATTTTAATCCAATTTAAATTTTCCATTTATGCATTATTTCCATAATCTACTCACTCAAAAGGTTTAATAACTTAAGTTATACAAGCTGAAACTTCACAAGGCTGGTGGTAAACAAAAGTAGACTTAAAAAACTTCATTTCCACCAAACATTACTATTTTTGGAGATAAAATTCATGTTCAAAATTACTTATAGGGTAAATTACACTGAAAACCCCTAACATTTAATTTTTTTACACAGACACCCCCTCACATTTTAAAAATAACACCGAACTCCCTTGACATTTAATACTAGTAACAAACATACCCCCTCTAACTAACAGACGTTAGAATTATTTACAGTCAAAGCTGATGTCTTCAACAATAATTCCTAAAATACCAAAAATACCCTCCAAAATTAAGTTTAAGAATTCAAATAAATGTTTTTCTTACCCTACAAATTTACCCGACCTCTCATTTATTTATTTTTAATCTATATATTTCATATATAAATTAAAATTTAAAATTTAACACTGAAATATTTAATTTCCTAATATATTACATTAATAAGTTAATTTTTTTTTTAAAAATCATTTATTAAATAATATTTGGGATTAATAGTGCAGTTTAAAAATTAATCAATTTTTTTTAAAATCTTAATAATAACTTATCCAATTATACCATATTAATTTAATTTTTATTTATTATTTATCTAATTACATAAATTCTTACTTCTACCACCCATCACCATCAGTCCACCACCGATTCCACCACCTAAACTCACCAATCACCACCGATTCCACCACCTAAACCCACCAAAACTTCCGAACCCAACCAAACCCACCACCAACACATAGAGAGAGAGGAGAGATTAAAACTACAACCCATTAAAACCACCTTTGCCTCTACTACCACTAAAAACACCACTTGGACCAACCACATCATCAACCAACACCACTACATTGTAGAGGTTAGGGTTTCAAAATGCACCTGTAACCACCACCTCCGCACTGCCTCTCCCTCGTTCATGCGCCAATCGGAGATCAAATCTTATGGATGGCGATAGTGTTGATGGATCTGTTTGTCTTTGGTGGGATGTCAGTCGGTGGAGGTGTTGATTGAATTCTCTATAATAGTCGGTGCTGGTGAAAAGAGGCAGTTGTGGTTGCGCCGCTGGGTGTTGGCATCAATTGTTAGGGGGTCTGATACGTCTTGCGAGAGAGAGAGAGATCGTCGGTTGCTAGGGGCTTTGATTCATCATGAGAGAGAGAATGTGGGGGATCAACTTTTAGGGGAGGGGAGGAAGGGTCTTGAATATTGGGTCTTGGGTCTTGGATATTGGGTCTTGGGTCTTGGATATTGAGTTTTGGGTCTTAGATCTAAGGTCTTAATGAGTAGTTAATGTGAGGGTAAAATGGTTTTTTTGTTTGTACCATTAACGGCGTTCATTTTTGTGGGGTCTCAGTGTAATTTTGGAAAGGTGAGGAGTGTCTGTGCAATAAAATCAAATGTCATGGGGTGTCAATGTAATTTACCCTAACTTATAAAACTGAACATAAGCTACAGATTTTCAGGTTTCAACTGATCAAGATTAACTTTAGAAATTCACCAAAATTCGAGTTTTCATCCTTTTCGCATCAAACCAAAGCCAAAAGAACCCTTCGCTAATCTACTACTAACCCCTCAAAGTTTAAGAATCATCAACAAATTGTAACTCATATAAATAATCCTAAAGTCACTTGATGTCCCGAATTTCTAAAAAGTATTTAAACCCCATTATTAGCAACTATGAAGTGAATATCATGTGAAATAACTCTAACCTTGTAATTAGACTAACTAGCACATGATTTATAGCTTAAGTCTCATTTATTGTTATTAACTAATATTCTTTCCAATTAAAGCAAATAATACTTACTTAAAATCAAGAATCATACAGAGTAAGTCCAAGCCTAGATCACTTACTTAAATTTTTCACCTTATTCTCTTGCTCTTTTTTTCTTTACTCTTTTCTCATTCTCTCAACAAACTCCTCTTTTCTCTCTCTTTTACTACAACACACACACACACACACACATATATACAGAGTGTCCAGGCTTGCGACAATCACTCTCTTGAACTTAGATACTGGCTACTGTAGGGATAAAGATGGTTAGCCCTTAGGGGGTATGAGAAGTATTGAATTTAAGACCTCTGAGTTGCCAGAGAATAGGGTCAGCACCGAATCACCTCTAAGGATTACAAGACACATATTTATGTATAGATGAACTATGGTTTGGCATGAGAAGTTTTGGGAAAAGGATCTTCATCTAGCACTTTCTTTCTTACTCTACACAAGCGCACATATTTTATAAAAATCAACAATGGTTAGACACTTCTAAACTCAATTAACTTAAGTTAATCCATATGAATAGGGTTTACGCAATTACAAACTAAGTGTACTTAAGTGTCCTTAATCAAGTCTTAATCTTACATTAATCATGATTAATTAACTTAACATTTGACATATTCTCCCAGTCATAGTTAATGGACACAAATATATATAAACTACCAAACCTAAAGAATTATCAAAACATCATAGCATGCACATGTATACAGTATACCATCGGTAAGGGTTACGAGATTAAAACTTTAGGAAGGTAATGTGCAAATGAAGTACACCGCAAGGGGGCAATTCCTAATTTGACCTTTAATCTACCATGTTCCATATTGGTTGTCGCTATGACTAAATTAAAACTTTGCAAATTCTAATTTTTAAATAAGATAACTTTATAAATATTTAAAATTAAATAATAGGATTTATGCTAGAAATTGAAGTCTAGGAAAAAAACGGAATTTTTGTTCAAATTGACGTAATGCAAGGTTTCAGACAATTTAGGATGCAAATTAAGGGTCACAATTTGTTGCTGCACAGTCAACGAATTTCACTATCATTGGTGTGTATACAGTGAGTTTAAAGTACATATTAAATGATACTTTAAGATCATTTTAGGCATACTATAAAAATGATTCATGCCACAATCTATTTTGGGAAGATAGATTCCTATGCAACAATAATCAATAAAAAATTTAATGCCTTATTATCAGAATAAGATTCCTATGTAACAATAATCACTAAAGCATTTATTGAAAGATCAACATTGAACTCCAAAGCATTTATCGCCACGTATCTCTTCCTTGTTCTTTCTTGATGATGAAAGTCATACATCTTCTTGATGATATTGCACCCTTAAAATCAGAACCTCCCCAAACATCCCCTTCTTTCTATCTATGTCTCTAGTTGTTTCCAAAAGAATATGTCAATGTCATTCATCTTATGAGTAGCAACGGAATTATAAAATTTGAAAATCCGTTAAAATTTTGAGGATGGTCTAAACACTAGCTTAAATGTCCCCTTGGGAACTTCTATATATATTTCGAAGCACTTAACAGACCAAGAAAAAATTATGCTAGATGGATTGCCTCATGCATTGTATCCTCTCAGTCCCATTTCTAAATGACATGGTTCCTAATCATTTCTCTGATATGTTCATGTTCTTTGTTTCAATATGCTACTCTTTTTGTTTTGACCTAAAAACATGTTCCAAAATTCTTCATGAATCTAAATATGTTTTTTTTTCCATCAAGCAATTGTCTTTCCTTCTAAGGCTTAGTCATCCAACTGATTTAAGGTAGACAAAACATATAGATCAAATTACGACTATATAACAAACCCACCCTCTTCATGACAAAATTTTGACTTACTCCGTTAAGGGGCGGTCTAGTGCACAAGGCTTCTACCACTACGAGATTGGGATCTCTCATACAACGATGTGTTCTCACAACTTGAATCATTTAGGTCACAACGATGTGTTCGCCACAGCAAGTTCATCGGAAGCTGAACATATTCTATAGAATATAAAAATCTGATTAGGAGGAGATCATTGAAGCAGTGGTGAGCATATAGAGATCCATGACCGATATGTAGGTCAAAGAGTCTCATGTAGAGAGATAAAGTGTGGGGATGTGAAGGGAAGTGATTGTCCTTGTACCAGACAGTAAAGAGGAGGGAGATGACGATTGTGTCATTGAACAGGCTCATTGTATGTTGTGAATAATGTGTTTGGTTGTGGGCAAATGGAAGTGGACTGAAGTCGATCCGGACTCTTTCAAGTTTCAATGTGGAACTAACGGTAACCCACTCCACCCCATGCCACCCTAAACCATCCCAATTCCCAACTCAACATTTTCGAACAAATATTTATTAATATAAAAAAAACATATTAATGTGATAAATTATTGTTTTAAAAAAATTGAAATAGTTACCAAAAAAAGTAAACTTCAAATGTGAAGTAGTTAACAAAGATGGTAAATTTGGTTATATAATGCTACTGGAATCTAAAAAATTAAATTTGATTATGTAAATTTGGTTATTGAAATGGTGACGTGGCAAATGATACACTCCCAATGAAAAAATCTAATAGTTATAATTACAAATAATATTATTGGACTATGTCACTATCACATCATTAATTCAATAAATTATATAATTTTTTAAGGTCCCAATAGCATTACTCAAACTGGTTATGTATATCACATGTAAGGGTTTAATTAAAAAAGACAGTTGTGCGTGCTAGATCTTGCACAATATAAAAACGAGAACAGATCTCTCCTTTGGTAAACTCGAGTGAGTCAGTTGAGTGGTCAACCACGCTGCTTGGAACAGCCTGTGAGATCCGGTGGTAACCTGGAACGGTAATGGGAGATCCTCGCGGATCAAATGAACGATCCAGTAAGGCTGAAGAAAGGTTCCTGGAACAAAGAAGAACAAGTTAGAAGGGCGCCGTAGTGTTTTCCGGCGTATCCCCTCCGACGATCAAGTCAGTTTTTGAGAGAGAGGAAGAAGAAAACACTGAGTATAATTTGTAGCAAAAGTTTTACCTCTCTTTCCTTACCTTTAGTAAGGAGTATTTATATCTCAAATACTCATGATTGATGTTAGTGTGGTCAGTAGGTGATCATTAGATACAGGCAACATGCGCACTGATTCCTATAAGGAATGTCTTCTCTTTTAACTGCTCGGGACCCCGAACAATCAAGACTGTGTTATCGGCCTGCCGACGGTTCAATGAGCTCTTCTCAGGGAGGATGCAATAAATGCCCAACCTTAGAGACATTCATTGTCTTTCACTTCCGAGCCTTACCGCATTGAATGCAGTCTCATCAAGGGAATGGTGTAATTAAATGCTTGTTTTCCCAAGTCGCGTGTCAGCAAGGTCATGCGGTCTTTCTGTCTCTGATGTGACACAATATGCCACGCGTCCATTCCCCATTGGCTGTGGCCCCTGCCTTCCTGTGCCTTCTGACACCAATTGTGTAAGACGAGGTCATGATAGCTAACCTAGCCTAGCCTAGGCTAGTGACCAGTGCATCAATAGCCTCTGCTGGAGCAGAGAACGACATCTTGGACGAGGGGGGTACATCTCGGTACCGAGGAAGAGGTACATCTCAGAGCCGAGAAATAGGTACATCTCGGAGCCGAGGAATAGGTACATCTTGAAGTCGAAGGGGGGAGGCCTAGCGACCGATGTACCATATTAGACTGAGGGTACGTGTCGGTACATAAAAACGTACTGGATGCCACTCGATCCCCATGATCAGTACCTCGGAGGAGAGAGGACTTGTGACCCGATGGGTACGTGATCTCGATAACAAAGATTAATGACACCGAGGACACATGTCTTCATCTCGGAGTATTTCAGAAATGTCCCATCAACTGCCCCCCAGCCTTCGATCTTCTGACACCGAGGACACGCGTCGTAAGAAGACGAAGGGTTTTACAACAACCACAACTGATTCATCATTGCTTCTAGCCGCTTTCCCTTGCTTAGGACGTCGTGCGCATTAAATGCACCTTTTCGTGCTTCACGCCCAATGATGGGATAGGTGCTATATATAAATGGGCTTCCTCTCTTCTTTTCTCATTTCATCGTTCTGAACTTTTCTTCACAGAGCCCTTGTCGGAGACTTCACCGGAGATCCCTTTCCTTCCG